TTACTGAGCATGTTGCTACATGTAATTATGACATTGTTGGGGTCACTGAAACGTGGATGCGTGGGGACATTGATAATGCTACACTTCGGTTCAACAACTATGAGTTTGTGAGGGTGGACAGGATTCACAGACGCGGTGGAGGTGTGGGTTTTTTTATTAAAAAAAACATAAAATTCGATGTTCTTGCTGCCTCGTGTCTTGATTGTATGGAGTATATGTGGATAAAAATTTTGATTAGAGATAAAACAATTATTATTGGTAACATATATAGGCCTCCAAACTCTGATTTAAACCTCTTTTTTAGTCATATTGAAGATTTATTAGCAAATACTTTTACTGAATCTGAAAATATCATTTGCCTGGGAGATTTTAATATCGACATGTTGAAAGCAACAAATCAAAACAAACAACTAACATCAGTGATGGACACGTTTGAGCTCGAGCAACTTATTGTAGAACCAACTCGAATTACTGATCAAACTGCAACTTTAATTGATTTAGTGTTCTCAAATGTTAAAGCAGTCAATTCTGGAGTGCAAAATATCAAAATATCTGATCATTGTCCAGTTTACGTGAAAATTGATCTCAAAGATTATCACCAAGATCCAGTACAATTTTCTTTCAGATCTTTCAAAAGAATTAATTTTGATAACTTTCAAAACGATCTCGAGGCATGGCCTTGGCAGGATATTTACTCGATTGATGATATTGATAGAAAAGTCGAGTTTTTGAATAATAGTATTTTAGCGTTGTTTGATTTACATGCCCCCATGAAAACCTTTAAAAGAAATCGTAACTATAAATACGCACCATGGATCACTGATAATATCAAGCTACTTCAAAAACTCAGAAATAAAGCTCTAAAGAGATTTAGGGATACAAATAATAATAATCATTACTCTTATTACAAACAACTTCGTAATTACACTACTTTTGCCATACGTGCAGAAAAAAAGGCCTATTTAAGAAATAAATTTAGAAACTGTACTACAAGAGAAAAATGGACAGAGTTACAAAAGCTCAATTTGTTAAAGAATAAAGAAATGAGGATACCGGATCATCTTAAAGATGTCAATAATATAAATGATTTTTTTATTTCGTCAGCTGGTAATCCTATCCCACCTAAACAAGAAATTTTAGATTTTTATAGAAATAATCTTAAGCTTGATGTTCAACAAAAGCTTCAGTTTCGTCAAGTTGAACAATATGAAGTTTTGAAAATAATCTCGACAATAAAAACCCAGGCTTGTGGATCTGATCATATAAACATAACCATGCTTCAACTGTGCTGCCCCTTTATTGTCCCTTTTTTAACAGACATCATAAATGAATGTCTAACGCGATCCTATTTTCCAAATCCTTGGAAGCTTGCCTTTGTTCGCCCTCTGCCAAAGATAAATCCGCCAGTTGAATTTAAAGATCTACGCTCAATCAGCATACTCCCCGCTCTCTCAAAAATACTTGAAAAAATTGTCGATTCACAAACTAGATATTTTTTAAATGAACATAACATTCTTCCATCTAAGCAATCGGGATTTCGTGGGGGCTATAGCTGCGCCACAGCAATGTCAAATGTCACTGACGATATTTTTCAAGCATGGGATGAAAATAGAGTTAGTGTATTAATTCTACTCGACTATACAAAAGCTTTTGATTTAATTAACCACGAAATAATTCTTTCTATTTTGCAATATATAGGATTTGCTGAGGCCACAATAAAATTCTATAGATCATTTCTAAGTGAACGTAGACAACGGGTGGTTCTTGATAACTCCTTCTCAAATATTGAAAATGTGGACGTTGGCGTACCACAAGGAAGCATCCTTGGTCCGCTACTGTTCACAATATATACAGGTAGATTTGGCGAATGTCTAGGGTTCTGTAATTATCATTTTTACGCTGATGATACGCAGCTCTATAGCTCGTTTAGAATAGACGATTTGGAGACTTCAAATATTTCGATAAATTCTGACCTTGAAAATCTAATTACCTTGTCAAAGGATCATCAATTAAAAATCAATCCCTCCAAGTCGTCTGTCACTGTGTTTGGTAGTGAAGCTCATAGAGCCATAGCAGAATCTGACCTCATTATTAGGATTAATGACGTACGCCTTGAAATAAGTAAGTCTTCGAAATCATTGGGGCTTATTGTGGATTCTGATCTCCGCTTTTATGAGCATGTGACGAGTAAATTGAGGAAAGCATATGGTGCATTGAAATTGTTGTTTAATCAAAGATATTTTTTGACTCAAGATGTAAAGAGGGAATTGTGTGATTCGTTAGTACTCTCGCACTTTAACCACTGCGATACAGTTTACGGATCGTGTATTGATCAACGCACAACCAGAAGAATTCAAAAAGTCCAGAACTCCTGTCTGCGATTGATTTTTGGTATACGTAGAGGAGAGCGAATCTCGCATAAGCTAGGGGAAGCGGGTTGGCTAAATATGTTCAATCGCCGAAAATTACATTTTGCATGTTTTTGTTACAAAATTATTAAAAATCAAACCCCACTCTATTTATTTAATAAAATTAAATTTAGGGCGGATGTTCATCAGTTGAATCTCCGCCTTAGAGGCTTTTTAACTGTACCAAGACACAGAAAAGAACTTTTTAAAAGATCTTTTTCATACAATGTTGCCTCCTGTCTTAATAAGCTTAATGTTGTGTCTTTTGTGCAGTCTGGTGCAGTGTTTAAAAATAAAATTAAGAAGATACTGTTTGATAATCAATAGTGTGAAGTATGAAATTCCAATAAATGCTCTATTTTTCCTCTCTTTTTCTTTCTTCTGTTGTCTTTCTCTTGTTTTCTCTTCTTATTTCTTCCCCTCCTCCATTAGGATTGCTGAGAGAATAGTTATCATTTAATCATTTTTTATTCTGTTTCCAAATGCTTACTGGGAAAGGTAAGTCAATATCGGATAGGCGCATATTTTGAATTATTTTTTTAAGTTATGGTAGGCCTAAACAGTATCTGGTCTCATACCAGATGTCTGCAATGACATGGCCTTTTATTTTTTTCATTCAATAATTTTAAATATCTATTTCAGCTGTACATTATAATTGTGATTGAGAAAAATAATAAATTTATATTATTATTATTATTATTATTATTATTCTGCCCAAGTAAAGCCATTTCCTAGTAGAATAAGGTACACTCTTGATCTCACTGGATACATTAGTGCCCATAAACAGATTTGGTTTGTTTATATCTTGCAAAGACTGGCCAGATTCATTGGTATGCGTTGAGGTAAGTTGAGCTACAAGTTCTTTGTGCCGGTTGGCATAAAAAGCATTATTAATGGCATTACTCACAAAACTTGGAGTTATCGGAGGTTGTTTTTGCGTTTTGTTTACATTTTGATTCATTAACCTCTCATTACCAGCTAATTGACTCAGTTTGCTATCCGTCCCCTGATTATGGGCCGGTCCATGGGACTTGGCCTTGGCCGCAGTCTCGTCGACCTTTAGTAAAACAGCTGATTGCGGCTGAAGCTGTGTTGTCACGTTGTTCACAGGATTTCCTGAGACTAAATCAATTTTATCATCAATGCCAATATTTAGATTTTTCAGTAATTTATCATCAAATTGGTTGTTAGCTAACTGGGCAAGGTTTTCCGTTAGTGTGCCTACAGATTCCTTCAATATTTTATTTTGGGCTACAACATCTGTCACAGCACTTTGCAGATCTTTTAAAGAACTTTGAATAATGGCGCTAAGAGAGTCTTTGATCAAATCACTAAGAAGATCCCTTGATTTTTGAACGTAATCAAAGGTTTTTGCTTCCTTGATGCAAGATGGACACAAAAAAATCATAACTCTGCCACTCTGTCGTATAAGTGCCCTTACCTCGGATAAAGAAATATCGGAGCAAGCTTTGCACACTGTTTTACCACATCGATCGCACGGAAAACCAAATAAGCGCTTCTTTTCTTTATCCTCATCTGGAACACATTTTGAGGAGCAAATGTAGCACATGTAGCACTTTAGGTCTGACGACGAGTCACCCATTATGAGAACTCTACGTGATAGCTATCACTGACACTGATTACAGTAGATTTACAGCCTCTAAGGGGTAGCCTTATGTTTAATATGAACTAGATCGACGAACCAAAGATGCTAAATAGAAAAAACGATAATTTTTCACCGTGCAAAAGCAAATTTTCACAGTTTTTCGAGAGAACTTTTCCAAAACCAACTATTTTGCGATGTTGTCGCATTGACAAGAAACTTTATTGCACCTGTTACAATGATATCCAAACAACAGGCTTTTATCTTCTTTAAAATAACATAACAAAAAACACAAGTATCACAAGTAAGTTCTGTAAAATCTTTTTTTTACTACTTACCTGAGAAATAGTCATTATTCAATCTATTTTTCTAGGAAAAAATTGAATTTCTCTCCCTAGGTGAATAATGAAAATAATGAAAAAGTCCCTAGGTCAATAATGAAAATGACGTCATGACGCAAGGATATTGTCATGTTTCTATTGGTCCAATTTCAATTTCATGCGTCAATTTAAAACAAAATACAGGTTTCTGTAGGTACATAGGAAGTTATCATAAGCTGTTGATAGAGGGCAGCACTTTCAAGAGGGCGTTCAAAAAAAAATAATTAGAGCACAGATTTTAAGCAAATTTTTTATTTTCTACTAGCAGTAGTAAAAAAAATTCTATATATTCCTCGGTAGAGAAAGTCATTATATACCTCACGCATTATAAACCTCGGCGCTTTGCGCCTCGGTTTATAAAAGCGCTCGGTATATATAATGACCAACTTCTCTACCTAGGTATATAATATACTATTTTCTGAGTACCCATAATTGTTTTTATTATTTGTTTTTGTTTTTGTTTTATTTCACTAAGTGAGGTTAGGGTCAAAACAGAATTTGGCTAAGCCCACTAATAATTATTGTTTGTGAAGCTAGGCGAACAGCTGAGATGATGAAAGATGAAAGTCATGTGATTAAGATGTGTGGCACATTTACCAGGCAAAAAATCTGTATGCAAAATACCGTCGCGTTTTTGAATGTGCAATTTTGTATGCACACTCGGAACACTGTACTGTAGCAAGAATAACAAGACTGCAGTTTTGTGCGAGCGTCTGTACAAAAGCGCCATGCACGTTGTTGTTTGCACGTTGATGTATGCACGTATATGTATTAAGACATCCACGTCCGTGTGTAACCGCCCTAATGTTTTTGTTTGCATGTTCATGTATGCGCGTACATGTTTTCAGACATCCACGTCCGTGTGTAACCGCCTAATAACGCTTGAGGTCAATGGTATGTATTTCCCGAGGGCTATACGTTGACCGAAAGCGTTATTATTATCCTTAATAATGCTCCTGATGCCTTCAACGCTTAATGTCCGACTAATTATTTTTTATATGAGAAAATTTTGAATAAATTAATCTAAAAGAAATCAAGGACAAGCATTTACCTGGAAAAAAGGTTATAACGTAGGTTATCAAAATAGTCATAACACCCTATAGGGAATTATTTCGTATTTAACTGACTTTCACATACCAAGCCGATCTAAGTATATGAAAAACTGAATGCAGAAAATTTTTGGAAATTTTACAGTATACTTATGTCAATGGGGGCAACCCGGGTAAAATATTTTCAAGGTGGTGGCACTTCCGGTTATACCGGAAGAAGACGTCAACTTGCTTATTTTAAATGAGACACCCTGTATGTGATTGCATATTTGGATTTTGCGTAAAATTCTGAGCAGATTTTATGGGAAATACCCTATACCTAAGTTCAACTGTTTTGGAAATATTGGCAGTTGAAAATTGTCCTTTCTGCAACTACGACAGGCTGTAAAACCGAAACGCTTAATTCTAGAGGAAAACGCGATCTCACATTATTGTCTTAGATTTTCATAAACTATCATTTGACACCAACTTTGAATTTAACCGGAGATTAAATTTAATCGGAATTTTTGATCATGGATTAAATTCAAAGTTGGTGTAAAATGAAAGTTTATAAAAATCTAATACAAGAATGTAAGATCGGTTTTCTATTAAAATGAACCGTTTAGGTTTTACAGCCTGTCAAACTTGAAAAAAGTCAATTTTCAACTGTCAATATTTCCAAAACAGTTGAAGATAAGTATAGGGTATATCACATGAAGTCTGCTAAAAAGGACTTCGTACAAAACTTATGGAAAAGAGGTTCCGGTCAAATTCAATAAAATTTTAGTAGGACATAGTTCATGACCTCCTGATCAAATTTCATCATTCCTACAAAAAATCGTTTGAGCAGTTTATAAGCTTTTCAAGATGCCTGAACAAGATCAAATTAAATTAAAGACTGATGAATTTTCACATTTCATTAATATTTAATGATAATCCATCAAGTCTAATAAAGATAGTTTATTAATATTGTAATCAACATAAATGGTGCTACATTTTGTCTAACATTAAACAGTGTTATAATTATTACATCCACTTTCGACTAACAGACAGAGAAAATGTTCCATATACGCACCTTGCAAAATACAATTTGACATAATCTGATTTTATCTACAAAAAAGTAAGTACTTTTTTTTGTAAAATATATAAATACTACATTAAGAAAGATGATGAGGTACATTATTGGATGTCGAAATTCGAATCCTAATACAGGGTGTCCCAGAATATGTGGGCAATCTCTCGGATTCAGATAGAACACAAAAAAATAACATGACAACTTCCTATAAAAAAAAATTCCTACGGCCCCCCCTACGAAGTTACGTCACCCTAAAGGACGCCTCTGAAAATCGGTTTTTTGTTGATAACTTTCAAAATACTTCGTGTAATTGTTTTTTCTTTTAATATGATGGATACTAGATAAGAACCCTTAAAATGGACCCTCTCAAACACACTTGGCCAATCTAGTTTGCCAGGGACGGACTAGCTTTAACACAATAATGCTAATTTTTTTTACACCCTGTATAATATAGGCATAGCAATAATATTTTTAGATAATTTCAACCTTGAACTAGAAAAAAGATACTCTTATTCCATGTCAAAAAAATGAGCTGGTTTCGAGAAAAATCTGTTTTTGTGTATTAATGGTTTTTATTAAATAATTTTTTTTGTCGACTCAACATAAGATCCTTCTAATTTTATGCATTCCATACCTATTTAAATGAAAAAGTGTTCGACTCTTGACAATGCTTCAATATTAGCCCTTATTTCGCGACAGTGAAAATTAATCCTTTCTACTAATATTTCCTCAGTGTCATTATTGCGTTGAAGCTAGTCCGTCCCTGGCAAACTAGATTGGTCAAGTGTGTTTGAAAGGGTCCATTTTAAGGGGTCTAATCTAGTATCCATCATATTAAAAGAAAAAAAATTACACGAAGTATTTTGAAAGTTATCAAAAAAAAACCGATTTTCAGAGGCGTCCTTTAGGGTGACGTAACTTCGTAGGGGGGGCCGTAGGAATTTTTTTTTATAGGAAGTTGTCATGTTATTTTTTTGTGTTCTATCTGAATCCGAGAGATTGCCCATATATTCTGTGACACCCTGTATATTCCTACATGGATTACATAATATTTATTTTTACGATTATTATTGGTTGAGGTTTTCTTTGTGATTGGATCGAAATAAAACAACAGAAGTTTGTTATATCAGATTGTCGACGTTTTGCAATATATTATTGCATCCTCAGGACAATTTGAGATTGACTTTTATGTAATCTCTCCATCTCCTGCATGAAACGTCGACAATCTGAAATAACAGACTTCTGTTGTTTTATTTCGATCCAATCCCAAAGAAAACCTCAACCAATTACAATTAAGGGATCGACAACAAACTACCAAACCAATTATTTACGATCATTGTTCGAGTACAATATATTAAGCTAAACCATAAAATAGAATAAACTTTTATTAATGTAGAATAATATTTTTTGAATACATTAACAGCTGTATGCAACATCCTCTTTTAACCTAAAAGCTCTTTTTAAAACTGGTCACTTTTAAAAATGTGTATTCTAAACCATAAATTTTTTTAAAGGTACCAGTTTTTAAAAGCGCTTTTAAGTTAAAAGAGAATGTTGCATACAGCTGTAAAACTTTAAGTTTTAGGTTTCTTGTGTGGTCCGATGTCGGCCCTTCCACTTTATATGGAGGTGGCGATAAGTGTGGGGAAGCATGGTTTATGTATTCGGGTCGAACAGCTAACTTTTCGAAAACAGCATGCCTAATTCTGGCTATTGCAGGACACGTGCAAAGGAGATTTTCTGCAGTTTCGTCTTCTTCCATGCAAAGGCGATATCGGCACTTTGTGCTATTCCGATCCTGTGCATGTGATAACGGAGTCTGCAGTCTACAGAGTACTACCCACCAGTGCTTTGAAGCTCTTCCTCCCCATTCCCAGAAGTATGTCTGCCACTTTCCCCCCTTTTGGACAAGGTACAAAGGATTTTGCATGGTGCATGCCTGGTAGTTTTGACCAATATTGTTTGACCTCTGTATTGACCCGGGTCGAGATTCTGAGGTTAGCCTTATTCAGGGCTATTCCCGGTTCTGGCTCCGGTCTAATGAAGTTAAGCTCGGATCCAGCTTTTGCAAGTTGGTCCGCTTTTTCGTTGCCTTTTGGTCCGGTATGTCCCGGTATCTAGACTAGTGAAACGTTGTTCTTTTCCCCTAGCTGGGTCGGAACTTGTTTGCAGTTCCATACTGTTTTCGACATGCAATGTATGGATGCCCAGTGTTTTCAACGCAGCTTGGTTATCAGAAAATATTTTCATCGACTCGTGCGTTTGTTGCTTGTCCAGCAGCTTTTTTTGCGCCAAGCTCGATGGCCAGCAATTCGGCCTGAAATATGGATGCGTTTTTACCAAGGCTGATCGAAATTCCCAGCCTTGGTTTTTCACCATATACCCCTGCTCCGACATTATGTTTAGTTTTGGAGCCATCTGGGTGTTTCAAATTCGAGCCACATCATTGGGATCTCGGAAACGGTGAAAGATACAGGGTTGGTTAAATTAGGGCAAAGTTGCGTAATTTGATGCTTAACAAAATGCCATTTTGATATTTAAGATATTTCAAATACTTCCGAAGATATCCTGAAGAAACCTAAATTTTGCAAAATTGTTTTTATTTTTTTCTGACTTTATTTGAAGTGAGATTTCAAAAAAAAATATCACTTCATCATAGCCACTTTTTCTTCCCTACAAAATGCTTAGATGCTACCATCAAATTTGAAATCTGACGTTTCGTCTTTGGGCCATCATCATCAACTTAATTTTTTTAAATACGACCCTGGATTTTTTATTTCAGATTTTAAGAGCTTCTGATGTCCCAAAACCTATGATGTATCGCATTTATTCGAAAAAATATTTTTTCTACTACCGTGCGTGAAGTACTCACTTTACGCACTATTCAGAAGACGTAAAATCTCTCTTCATGCACTAGTGCGTGAAGTAATTCACTTCACACACTAGTGCATAAAGTAATGTCAATGACAGATGCCGACCTGTCAAATTACTATTTTTCTGGTAAATTACTTCCCATATTTGATTGGTAGTAGAAAAAATTTTGTATGCAATACGTGCGTAAAGCACCTTTTTTCACGAATGTGTCAAAATTCACATTCGTGAAAAAAGGTTCACTTTACACACTTGTTGCATAAATAACTATTTTCTACTCTTTAGTAATTTCCTACTAAAATTCTCTTCTCTGTCTCTCTTTAACACATTTAGTTCATATGAAAAATGCCAATAATATAAATTTTTCGAATAAGTGCAATACGTCATTGGTTTTAGGACATCAGAAGCTTATAAAATCTAAAATAAAAAATAAAAGTCTGTATATTTAAAAAAATGAAGTTAATGATGGTGGCCCAAAAAAGAAACGTCAGATTTGAAATTTGAAGCTAGCATCTTGTAGGGAAGAAAAAGTGGCTACAACGAAGTGACATTTTTTTTTAAATATCACTTTGAATAAAGTCAAGAAAAAATAAAAACCATTTTTTAAAATTTCGGTTTTTTTTCCGGATATCTCCGGAAGTATTCGGAATATTCTAAATATCAAAGCGGCATTTTGTTAAACATAAAATTACGCAACTTTGCCCCAATTTAACCAACCCTGTATCTCTCACCGTTTCTGAGATCCCAATGATGTGGTTCGAATTTGAAACACAATGTACAGGCAGAGATCTGCCCCTTAGGGCCGGTTCGACAATGCCAGTATAAATCTCAGTATTGTAATACCCGAATATCTTATACCTTGATTTATCCCGAGTATATTTGACCGCCGGTT